GGTTGAAGAGGCTGTTTATCGCAGCTGCCCATGGCTGAAACGAGACCTGTGGCGCATCCCTGGAGAGCAAGAGTGGCGGGGCCTTGCGTGGTGCCTGTGGCCGCCGGGCCCACATGGCGTCGCCTCAGCACCCGGCCGCTCATGCCTCCTGGCCGCTCACGCAGCCCTCGCTCACACCTCGTCCTCACGGCAGGTGAGGGCCGCTTTCCACAGCTCGGCTCTGCCTTCCAAAGCTGTGTCACAGCTCCACACAGGCAGCTCTCCCCTCCGCACAGCCCCTTCTCCTCCCAGCGCTTCCCAACCGGCTGGTTGGGTACTACAGCCACCACCTTCTCTCTGTTGCTTTACAAGCGCTCCCACCTCACAGCTCCAGACTGCTGCAGCCTGCAGGGGTCCTGCACCCCGTCCCCAGCCCTGCCAACGTCCTCCTGCTGGCTTCTGGGACCCTTGCAGCAAGAGAAGTGCAGGGGATAAACCTCCGGAGAAGGAGAAGCTGCAGTGCGTGGCGTGACCAGAGTAGGAAGCTGGAAACCAATTCCTTAGGGAAGAGGGTGCCCAGAGTTGAGTCTTAGTTTGTTCATCTTTTAGGTAACAGAGTTGAGCGGTCAGAAGATGGAAGGACTTCCTGGCAGAAGAGTTAGAAATGCACAGCATGATAGACCTGGCTGTGTCCTCCCCCCGCTGGGGTTTGTTGGCTTTTCCTGAAGTAAAACTGCCTGCATCTTGCTTTTTATTTCTCACTTTGGTGTACTTGTCTTTTACATCACATTATCTTGTTTTTCAGATGTGTTTGATGTATTTAGGCCAAATTATCCTGGCTTTAGCCTGTTATATTCTTTGCTTGGGCTGCATTGCCTGTGTTTTCGGTGGCTTCTGCCTGTACCGTTATTACCAGAGCTCAACCACTTCTGCCCGTTGCTTGAGCACGAGTGCTTCTGTTTCGGTAAATGGGCTGCCTTGATGTTTTAAATGAAGCAGTTTCATTTTTGCAAGTCCTTAGCTTTTGTAAATGGTGCTAATACAGTCAGTCTCATTTTCTATTAAAGAAAATCTCTAGACAAATTGAACTGCCAATTTTTTGGGTATCAGGTAGGGATATTCTAAAGACATCTTGTGTTACATTGCTAGAGCTATGCTTAGAGAAGCACTTGCGTAGCAGTGATGCTGGTGACATTGCTTAAGTGTGGTCTCAGTTTTGAACCAAAATGCATATTTTATCTGTGTAGAGGCCTGATAGAGAACTAGACATTTGTAACTTAGTTTGCATGCTCAACATCCAAGAGTTTGAGAAGACTTTATCTTCCAGCCTTAAGCTCTATCTCTTAAAACATATGAATTTTAAATTTTGCTACAAATAACCTGTGTAGACTGGACTTTTCTGTCCATGTAGATAGTCATTGCTGTGGATAGAGGAATTGTCCAAATAGTGATTTTAAAAGGGGGGGGCGGGGGGCGGGGCAGAGAGCCAGGAAAACATTCAATGAATATTAGATGAGTGTTCATAATATCCTGTACTTAAGTTTTAAGCATTAGCAATTGCTCAGCAGTAGACAGTTCTGTAGCTTAGCAGGGAGAAAGCTTAATGAAACCCAGAATGTGAGAACAGAAGCTAAATGAAATCAGACTTGGAAATACAGTGCAAAATTTTAACAGCAAGTTTAATTAACATTTGGAGAAACTTTAGTGAGTATCTGGCTTTATGCATCACTTCAGTGTGAGTGCTTATGTTTTCAAAAGACACTGTGTGTGTTAGCCACTATGAGAATTGTTTGTTAATATTTCTTAGCTTGTGAAAAGCAGGAAATAGACCTAATGCCCTAGGCCTCAGACCGTATAACTTTGGTCAGGATGTGTTGCTGATTTTGCTAGCTAAAGCTGGGCATCTGCTGTGCATTAAGAACCTACCTTCACCCAACAGATGGTTTGCAAAAGTTTGATCTCGTGGGAGGGAAGAGAAGTTATTTGCTTTGCAAGCTCTTGATAAGGCAGGGATCTGAGCCCATACCTTCTTTGCATCATTCCTCTAATGTATTTGTGAATAGTTTGGGTTTTTAAGATTCTGTGAGCCCCTGTGTAAGATGAGATGAGCTGTCTTATACCCTGACCTTTGGCTGCTCTTTTGACATCACAGAATCGTGTTGTTTTTCTGTTTCCTGCTGGAAATGACCATCATTAGACCAGGGAGAGAACTAGAAAAGCTGCAATTCTATGTTTATTCCTTATACACCTAGATGCTTTGTTGCTTCCCACAAGTGTGATACGGCCTCAGCTGCTGACGCTGGGAATGGGAGTGCAATTGTGGACACTGCCAAAGGCTACCTGGAGATGGAGGCTGAAAGGGGCTCTCGCCCGGGCTGGGGGCTCCTTTCTGGCCCCAAGCAGAGCTGTGCTCCGGTGCCGCCCGGCACTGCTCCACGCTCCTCCCGGAGCGCTCGGGCGGCGGCAGCGCCCTGGCGCAGCCTGACCTTTCCATGCTCCGGCTCGTCCCGGCCGGCGCTGCCGCGCTGGCGAGCGTGCTTTCTCTCCCCGAGATGTGCTTGACTTGGCCTGTTTTGTTGCCCTGGTGACAGAACAGTGTGTTATGCTTTCCCCCCGACCAGAAATAGTTTCTTGTACCTTGTGACCGCGGTGCTGCGCTGCTCCTCTGGTCGCCAGCCAGGCTCGGTGGTGCTGGAGGGCTGGCGTGTGGGGTGCTGACCTCTTGTCACAAGTTCTGGTGTGCCCGCTGCCCGGGCTCGCTAGCTGCCCTGCCTGCTCCCCTCCCTCTGCAAGAGGGTCTAGGGTTTCAGGGGAGCAATTGCTCTTGATTTACATGTCCTGTGGCATTTCAATGGTTATGTCATTTTGGTTGAGCCTGTGCTCCTGTCAGCTGTCTGTCTTGGCTGTCAGGGCTCGGTGGCTGAGTAGCACGTGGTGAGCTCTTACCTCTCCTTCCCCCTTTGCTCAGCTGTTTTGCTGTCTGCTTCCCGGTGTCCTTGTGCTTGGGAACAGATTCTCGGCAAGTGTAACGGGGCCCAAGGGCAACATGATCGGAAGGGCTGGAGGATCCCCTTTTGCAGCACTTCCAAGTAGAGCTGGGAAGGAAAGCAGGGAATTTGCAAGACCTGGGCATGTGAGCAGCATATGGTCCCGCTATGGGGATGTGGCCGGAGTGCAGAGGGCGCAGTGCGGTCTATGCCTTCCAAGTGCTTTGCAGAGGTTTTGTGAGAGGTGCTGCTGAAAGGGGAGCCGCGGCACCCTGCCCCAGCTGCCCAGCAATGCAGACAAGGGAGCGCTTGCACCACACCAAGATGCGGGAGCGTGGAACCGCTCCAGCCCTTCTTGCTGCCTGCTACTTTATTGGAGTGGTTCTGGTGTAGAACAGTGAAATGTATGTAGCAGCAACAATAATTTCCAGGACTGAGAAGGAAGGGGAGATGAAAGGAGTAATTTACCTTCCCCCATCCCTGAACAGTAGCAAATGAGGATATAGGCAGATCTCAGCCCATATAAAATATTAATTGGGACATTTTCTACAGTTCAGCAGTGGGAAAGAAGACAGAAATCCTGCAGTGCCCTGAGCTGCTATTTGCAGTCTAGGGGAGAGGGGTTCTGAGCAGAAGCATGTCCGGTGTCACCTCTGCTTGTGGGGACAGGAATGGTTGCCCAAAGCTTGTTGATGGGAAGGGAAGGCTGTGCAGCGGCTGCAGGGCTGCGCAGGCTCTTAGGTTTAGCAGTGCAGTATGGTTTGCTAGAAGTTGGTCTCCAGTGGGCTCCTGTAAATCGGAGGGTGCTGCAGTGCTCTCGGTGGCTGTTGAGTGAGTAGCCCAGCCAGCCCAGCGTCCTGCCTATGTTTTGTGAAAAGACTTGTGTGTTGCCGGGGATGCAGAGAGGGTTTTGAGCCGGTGTGCTGAAGATCTGATAGAGAGGAAAGATCGTGATGGAGCAGGGACTGGTGCCAGTTCCCCTTTCTTTGCCCTTTTGATGGGTGAGCTGGGAGGAAGGACTGTCCTTGTTCTTGCCTCTTTCTAGGCATCCGCATTCCCTAGAGGCCTAGAGTTCAGTAACTGCCAGGGCTGCCTGAACGATTTGCTCCTCTTGGATCCTTTCAGTGAAGCTCTGCTTGTCTGATGTGAGCACTGCACTCCAGAGGATGGGGGCTTTGTAGTGCAAGTCAGGGATCAGACACTGCTCTTGTGGAAAGAATTGCCTTTCTGCATGAGCTTCAGGGACTAGAAAGGCTCCCTGCTTCTTGACAGAAAGGGGCAGCTTTACTGTAGTGTCCTCACCTTTCCTGGCCCCCACATGCATTAAATTTCAGCAAGGAGAAACCGTTTCTGCTCTCCTTGATGTATGTACTTTTTTTCTCTAATCCAGATGACAATCCTGCTCAAGCTGATGTTGCCTTTGTGCTGGACTAAGCACATTTAGCATGTAGGCAGCGCTGCTTGCCTGCAGGTCGCAATGCTTGCTCAGCAGCACTTGTCCAGCAAGCGCGTCCGTGGGCGCCGAGGTTTGGCTACCTTTGCGGCCGGCTGCAGCTGGCAGCTTCCTTACTCCGTGCCACGGCTGGGCCCCAGCTGCCGCTGGGAACTTCTCCTTCTGCCCTGCTGCTCTTCCCCAGGGCTTCTCTGGAGCAGCAGCAGGCCCTTTCCTGTTTCAGGCAACTTATGTTAGGTTCTTTCTCCCCCTCTCCAGCCTCAGAGAATGGGGTAAATCTCAGAACAGGTGCCAAAACTGACTTTATACTTAAGTGATGTGTTTGCTGTGGTGCTGCTTGCTTGGAAACGAAGCAGAAAACACAACTTTAGCCCCAGCTCTGGGGCATGGGAGGAGTCCTTGGTTCCAGGTGCCCATGCAGCCTTCGTCCCCTATGGCTGGAAGGCCTGGGGAGATGTTCATGCAGTTGCCAGTGTCACACAGCCCTCGAGGCGACTGTTTTCCTTTCTTCCCTGAATGTGAACAAGAGCCAAGTTCAGGGCTGTGTGCAGCTTAATGTCTTGTTTCTTTCTCTCTTTCAGATCACCAGAAACTGGAACGTGAAGCTCGAATCTGCCGGCTCTTAAAGCATCCAAATATCGGTAAGTCTCTCTGGGCTCAGGAATGGGGAGGCAAGACAGGAGTCAAACGGCTCCTCCTTGTACTGAGGAGGAAAGCAAGAGCATTCCCAATGTCCCCAACAACTCTAGTCAAATGTGCCTGTTGAAACCACCGTAGCTTCTCCTGTTGAGAAACCCCACGAGCAGCCGTGTACCAGTCAGGGCGCCGCGTGGGCCGCGTGCGCCCAGGTGAGCTGTGCTCTGCGCCGCCGGCTCCTCTGCGCGTGGCCGCCCGCCTTGCGCTGGCTGCTCGCCTGGCCTGCCGCCATGGGGCTCTCTCCCCTCACCTCTCTGCTGCCTCTTCTTGGCACTCTTCTGTGTATCCACTTAAAGGCTGTTTTCAGTGAGATCCCGTATTTAAAGGAGGGTGGACTAGTAGGTTGTCTCTTCTCATTCCAGTGGTCACGCAAGACAAAAGAGACAATAATTTGTTTCTGCTCCTGAAATACGTTTGTCGTTTTGTTTTTAATCTTTTGCTGAGTGTGACTGTTTCCATGGTTATCCTGCATGCAAGATTCCTTTTGTTTGTTTGTTTGTTTTGTGCTTGCCCCCAGTGGAACAGATGGGAAAGGAAGAATTGCCCACTTTGTCAGTGGGGGTGGGGGGGGAGGGAAGTGAAGTCCATAGAGTCCAGAGAAAAACTCTGACTTCAAATAAAAAGGGAGGGGATAATAAGGCATAACTCAAAAAAAAATTTATTTACTAAGCTGGACAGAGTGCACGTGCAATCTGTTTTGTTCCAAAGTGCTAGAGAAGTTTGCCTTAAGGTTTTCATTGGTGAAACTTTACATCGTTGGCTCTAAGTTACTCTGAGTAAGAGATTTGGAGCGTGTATCATCTCTCTTTTATTTAAACTTCAAAAAAAAAAATAGGGCTCTAGAAACCCTAGTTAAGGTTGGGGTAATATCTTGGAGAAAGCACTAACAGTAACACTAACTACCGAACTGCTATCTTTGATGAAGCTGCTGTTAATTACTCTCTGGGAAAACTGTAATGCAGTGTCATTGCTTTCATTTTTTTTATAATCCATTTAGATAGATATGTTCTACAAAAGTGCTTTTTAAAATAAAAATTAATTTAAATGCTAGAGTTTTGGTCGTTGTGGAGCTAGAAGTTCCTTCTCCCAAAGCATGGAAAACTTTGGCGGTGGCGCTGCGATCTCCTCCGAAGCAGCTGTAGCGCTATCAGACTTAATCTGGCTGTGGCGGAGAGCTGGCTGAATTTTCAAACTCCATCTAGGCTGAGGCCTCTGATTGCATTAACGAAGAGACTGATATGATTGTGTTGCTGAATGAAAATGAGATGTTCATTTGGATGAATTTTTCAAGTTCCAGATATGCTTAGGTTTTTCATGTTTCTGTTTGCTTTTTTCTCAAAAAAAACAGAAAGTTTTCCTCAAAAATTCATCAGTGGAGACAGCTGTTTCCCACAGCATCTGTCTGATCTCCTGAATTTCAGATTCCTATTGGTTTTGGTTTTGTCCACTGAAGACCTGGGAGAGGAGGGGTGCCTTACAGCACACTGTGCAGACCAGTATCTGTAGCCTGTTCCTCATGCTATGAAGGAGCCGTTTCCATCAGCTCAGGGCCCCACAAAATGCTGAGCACTCAAGTAGCAGCCTCAGCTGAAGGAGCTTTCTGTTCCTTGTAGCCAAGTGCAGTCGTGGAGATACGAGGAGAGGAACAGTGATTCCCTTCTACAGTAATTTGCAGTGATGAATATACAGGTTTGTAAACTTATTGCTTGACAGTGTACAGAGTGACTAAAGCTCACACTAGGAGTTAGCTACCAAGCTGCTTTTGCCCCATAAGTCTTGTTACTATCATCGCTTAAATGTCGCTTTATTCTTTATTTTGGCTAGAATTTCTCACTCCCATCATCTATCTTTTCTCAATTCTTAAAACATTTATTGTCAAGCATCTCAAAATTAAGCATTGTATGCAAGAGGAAAAACATTTATTAAAGGTGAATTTCACTGTAAACAAGCATATCACATTCCTAGCTCAGCTCTGCAGTTGGTTCCTCATCTGCAGTGAGTGACTTGTCTCCTGATGTATTATGTTTTGGAAAAGGCTCTTGTGAGGAATACATCTGGTCACAGGTTCTTGTGTTTTCTGCAGAGTATTGCTTGTTTTTCTAGAACAAAACTGTTTTTATTTTAAGATACAGAGATTAGCCATTCTAAATTCTAAGGCATCTCAAATAGCAATAAAGGAATAAAATTTTATGCCTAAAACGCAGTCTTGGAAAAACACCTCAGGAAGTCATACAGTCGGTTCAGTAGTCCTGTGCAAACATTTGATAGCTGCCCCTTTCCAGGCATATTTGTTCTCAAAGCCCTGTAATGATCCCACAGCCTCTAGTGGCAGTTCTAAAATGTTTAATTCTTCTATCAGTTAGACATCAGAAAAACATATTTTGCTGCTATCTTAGCCTTAGCCTGTTATTTCTAGTTTTATCCAGAGTATATGTAGAAAGTAGTTTTTCTTTCTTGTAGCAGGCTTTTACATACTTGGAGACTGTTATCATGTCTCCTTTCAGTCTTTTTTTTCTTTAGACTAAACAAACCCAGTTCTTTGAATCTTTTCTCATACGTCATGTTTCTAGACCTCCAGTGTTTTTTTTCCTGCTCTTCCAGTTCCCTGGCCTCTCTCCAGTTTCTTCACATTTTTCTAGAAACGTGATGCCCAGAGCTGGACATGCCAAGGCTCTAACTGAGGCCATGCGGGTGCTGACTGTAGGAGGAAGTTGTGGCCTCACCTGTCGTACTAAAGATGCTCTTGTTTCTCCTGTCAACGTGTTAAACTTGCTTTTTGAGTACGCTGTTGGTACGCATTTGCTTTCTGATTCGTTATTGCCCCAGGCCACACTCTGCAGAACTGCTGGCAAGCAAGTCATTTTTCCATCTTGAGTAGTGCACTCTACGTTTGTCCTCATTAAAATAAATGGGAAGAAATTCACTCTGCATGGATTCCCTCTGAATCTGTAAAGACCATTTCGATTTCTGATATTAAAATATGCTTGCAGCTCCTCTCACAGTAATGTAATCTTTAATAAGTGCCATGTATTACATCATGTAGATAATAAATACAAATGCTAAACTGTGTTGGACTCTGGACAAACACTTGAAGATATCACTTGATGCACTGTTCCATTTTGATAGTGAGCAATTTTGCGTATGCTTGTTTTTTTCCCTATATATGCCGTTATAAGCTAGTTTTGTATATGCATTTTTCTAACTTGTTTATGAAAAAATAGAATGTAAGATTGTCTCGGAAGCTTTGCTGAAATCCAAATGATAAGTACATTGTTTCTTCCATATTGCTAGGGCTTCTTACTCTGTGACTGAAGGAAACCATGTTGTTTTTGAGGTAGTGGTGTTTTTTTTTTTTTCCCCCCCTTGACTTATGTATATGGTATCTAGTAATCATCCTGCTGGTGGAGTTCTGTATTTAACCTCTTCTGCATGTGTTGCTTCCCTGCGGGTTGTGTAGCTATTCTACACCAATACTGCAGAACTCTGCATATTTTGCACTTACTTTAATGAAGAAATGAAGTTTTGCTGGAGAGAGCTGCAGTGTGTCCTGCCGTTCTGCAGTGACCCGAACCTCGAGTGAGTTGAGGGCAGGGAGGGAGGAAGCTGCAACCCTGGGGGTTGACTGCTCATCTCTCCTGTCTATATACTGGAAATGAGGGAGCCTGTTGCTGAATTCATGGGTTTTATCCATTTGCTCTAAGACCGTTGATTCTAGGGATGGGGATTCCAGACAGCAACACATTGACCATAATGCTGCTACTCATACTAATTAAAAACAAGATAATTTGGATACAAACTAGTGCCAATCGTGTTTATCAAACTTTACTTCTATGGTATTTTCATTTATTGTCATTTTTATGGTAGGACTGCTTTCTGAGTTATCCTAACGTGCCTTCATGAAATCTCAGCCCTGAGTTTAGGCCCTTGCTTTGTAGTAGGACATCTTGCTTGTCCTCAGATGCACATGGAGATCCACAGGGTCAAGGTAATCACAGTGAAGCGATCCTTCTGCGAACTTAGTATGTAGGATGGCTGTCTCTCAATCCAGAAAGCTTTCCAGTCTCTGGGCAGAGACATTTAGCTGGAGGCAACATTCTGATTTTCACAGTACACAGCTCCCTGTACCCATGCATCATCTCTAGCTTGTTGATTTTGGTTGATCACCTCAGATCTCGCTTCAGCCGAGGAAGGGCTTCCTTCCCTCTTTCAGCCCATGGTTTTGATGCTCCTCGCAGCTTTCTAGAGTGTTTAGGTGTAAGGCCCAGGGAAGTCTTTTACTAGCCATGCTCACCCAGTGCAGCAAAACTGGATGGAGATGAGTCAGTGATCTGTTCCCTTTCATCCTGTTTTAATGGGAAAACAAATGCTCCCATTACTGAGGATATGTTGTGCAAAAGTAGTTCTTAAATATATTTGTTTTTATTTCAGTGATCGCTTAGTTATTCTTACCTTCTTCTAGCCTGTTATTGTGCAACTTCACTGCTTGCGTTTAGATCTGCAATAAAACAAATACTTATATTAAGAGAGGCTGCTAGTAGCCGAAGAGATGGAACAAAATTCTTTTTTTGATTTCTGCTTTCATATCCTGTGCTGCACTGCTTCAAAATTAATTTCTTTGAGAATTTACAGCAGTTGTAAACTGCTGTTCTCAGCATCTATCAGAATTATTGCTTTTTCAGGTTTTCTTGCTTCTGACTTTCTCCCAAATACACCTGCACTTAATTATTTTGAGTTTTAACTCTATCTTTTAGTTTGTTTCAGAATGGGCCATAATTTTGGACATGTCCTTATTTAAAATGGGGAAAAAAATGTAGAAAAATCTCCTGTGGATTAGATGAATTTCTTCTGGCCTCGTTCAGTTTTACTTCCTTTGACAAATGGTCTTTCCTCTGGTATCTTTGCCCGACTCCTGGGAATGACTGTAATAGATGGGTAAATAAAACCT